GACCCTGAAAAGGATAAGCGGAAGTGAATGGATGGATGGAAGGGGCATGTGACTGCATCTATGTTACAGATGACTCATGAAACTAAACAACTCTGACCAGACGATTGATAACATGTACATGAGGCAGTATTCAGAGGTGCATTAATAAACCCCATACAAATAGACTAGAGTATCAGTTGTTATGTTCAGATTCTAAAAATATGTAACAGATCTGCTGAAAATGCTACAAGCAACAGCTGAACACGAGTTTAAAAGTTTGTTCTTGAGAAGAACATTTGACAAAACAATCCAGCATCAAAGTACAATAGCTGCTCGGGAGCTTTTTAGAAATGTCACATAACGTTTATTACCAAATGGCTGACTTGCAGTGTTGTTACAGAAGTGCAACGTAAAACATCAGGTCAAATGAAATTGACATGACTGGTATGCATTCCATTTATACCAAGCAAATTATCCTAAATTTGTAGTTATTTGAATAAATAAATCTTTGATTTTATAGATTTCAGTTTCATTTTACTTAAAACTATTGCTTCGTGTTTGAGTGCAGATATTTATATATGCAGTTTTGGTTCGCACTTTAAGGCCCTCTTATCTAAATTTTAAGCCTTTTACAGTAATTGTGGTCTCCAGGTCTTCACATTGCACATATATGATAAAGAAGCAAGTTGTTAGATCACAAAATATTCAAGCACTGAACAAAGTAGGTGGCTGCACAGTTTCCTCATAGCAAGGAAGTCAGGGTTCAAATCCACCGGTCAAATTTCTAAGAGTTTCTGTGTCCTGTGCCTCTCTGAGTAATCTGGCTTCATCCCCCTACCAAAAGATGGTAATTTGTAAATAGAGGACAGGTTTGAAAGGTTATCAGGTTATACCTGGGATAGATTCCCAGATGGATGGATAAAGTAGTGGTCATCCAACTAATCAAAAATGCACAAGGCCTAACAGTTTTTAGGTTCTTCTGAGCAAAAGCGAATAAAAGTAAAAGATGTGTTTAGTAATTAGGGCTTAATGATACACAGATCTAATGCATAGCTGTCTGTACAAATCCAGATACAATATTTTCCCTTTCACATTAGCTGCTTGGTCGATGACATTGTTACTGCACACCAGCAACTTAAGTACCACAGCTTTATAAACACAGCACTTGCTGATCTGTCATCTTTGCTACACTTTGAAAATGTCAGACATTAACGATTTTCAGCTTTGAGGCATTTTCTGAGCAAGATGAAGTGAGAGGTCATTAGAAAAGGCAAATCTCATTTTAAAACTCATTCAAGAGGGTAAAGCACAGGAGAGGTTGCTACTGTACCTCACTTTACCACCTTGAATAACAGACGGTTGCTGACACATTCTGTCTCCCTTAATAAACTGTACAGGTATGAGTGTAAATGAGAGCCTCAGGGTCTTTTTTATAACCAATCTAAAGGAAATGTAATCTCTTGGCTGTCAGACATCCACGTTAAAACACACACACACACACACACACGCATGAGTCTTCTTGAATCATTTACCTCATGCAGGCTTTCTTCCCCACAGGGAAAAGAGCAGAGGGGTGAGTTGGTAAATTATAGACACATATAAAATGTGCTGGTCAAAACAACAGCGGCTGGGGTGGAAGGGGAAACACGGGCAAACCAGTGTCTGAATGGCAGAATTCTGTCACATTTAACATATTTACAGGGACAGCAATGTTACGTATCCAATGTTTGAAAAGGGCTAAAGAAAGAAAGACAGAAGAGAGCAAACACAGCAGGGCTCTGGTGACTCAGCCCCCTGACTTTAACAGCAATAAACAGACTCCTGGCCTTTTCTCACAGTGACGCACGCACAAAATATATAACCTACACACTCCAACGCAGGTCCATCTCCCAAGCTGAAATGCTGGCGACTTGCAAAGTCACGAGAAGTCACCATATTATATCTGCTAATTTAAGCAACTATTCTTTCTATGCTGATTCTGCTTTGACCTACTATCCTCCCATTGGTTAGAGAGGAAGGGCTGCCACTGCCATAACTGGAGACTAGTAACAAATACCATCATTGTATAATGTAGCCATAATAAGGTTAAAAGGTTTGCAACAATAAAAAAGTGGTAAAAATATATCCTGATGTGTAGCAGTTGTAGTGGTGCAACAAATTGTCAGTATTAGGAGTCTGTATGTAATCTCAGTTTTTCCCTGTATGGTCCATATAATATAATTACACAATGCACATGCATTGTTGAAGTTTCTGGCACATAGTTTTTATGCTGATGTTAAGGCAAGAGGAAGCACTCAGGTCAGATATCAACTTTTTCTGAGTTGGGCATCAAAGTTTTGTTGCATCTGTTGTGAAGACTAAACATCTTGTTATCGTTAAAGCTTTGCATGACTAAGAAGTAGTTTAGTGCCCTGTCCAATTTTGTGTACAGTATGGTTTGTGATGCTAATAGGTTTTTGTATTAACAGCTCATCTGCACTACCAGTGATCAATATTTCAGTGCTGTCTTTGCTGTACATTTACAAATGTACAGGCTACTTGGCGGGGCCTGGCGCCTGTTGCTCGGTCCGGCCTCTTCCGGGGCGCGGGGGGCCCTCGGGCCTCTGGCCTCGGGGCCTGCGGCTCGGTTCACTCTGGCACAGCTGGTGCAGCCCCCTCTAGCTTCTGCTCGGTGGCTACTGGGTGACCCCTCGTCTGGGGATCCTCAGCCCTTCCCATGAGGGTGGCACGGATGCCCCTCTGGT